CCCCCTCTCTCTCTCTCTCTCTCTCTCTCTCTCTCTCTCTCACTCACTCTATCTCACTCTCTCACACACACCACACTTTCTCACGCACTCTCTCTCTCTCTCTCTCTCTCACACACACCACACCCTCTCTCTCTCTCTCTCTCTCTCTCTCTCACACACACCACACCCTCTCTCTCTCTCTCTCTCTCTCTCACTCACACACACCACACTCTCTCTCTCACACACACACACACACGCCTGGTTTGTTGTCCTTGTAGGGACTCTCCATAGGCGTAATGGTTTTTCTTCTGTACAAACCGTATTTTCTGTCCCCTTACACTAACCCTACACCTACAGGAAAATTTCTGCATTTTTACATTCTCAAAAAAACTCATACTGTATGATTTATAAGATTGAGTCAGTAATGGAATGGCATGCATGTAGAAATTTACAAGCAGAAGAGAATCAAACTATATTTACATGTTTTCAAACAGCTGTTCATATTCAGACCAAATAATTGATAACTATTTTCGTGTTATGTCTGATGCTCTTCTGTCGTGTCTGATCACGTCGGTATGTTTGGATGCTCACGGCCACTTCCCTGCAGATTAGCAAAGAACAGGAAGTGACCTTGAGCGCTCTGCTGTGATTGGTTTTGACAGGCGGAAGGGTACGTGATCGGCAGCTGCATTAAACACATTCCCATCGCGGGCCGAGACATCACGTACTTCACACAGCAGCTGCTGAGAGAGCGAGAGGTGGGCATCCCACCGGAGCAGTCGCTGGAGACCGCCAAAGCCGTCAAGGTGAGAGAGTCTGTGTGTGTGTGTGTGTGAGAGAGAGCGCGTGTGTGTGTGAGAGAGAGCGCGTGTGTGTGTGAGAGAGAGCGCGTGTGTGTGTGAGAGAGAGCGCGTGTGTGTGTGAGAGAGAGCGCGTGTGTGTGTGAGAGAGAGCGCGTGTGTGTGTGAGAGAGAGCGCGTGTGTGTGTGAGAGAGAGCGCGTGTGTGTGTGAGAGAGAGCGCGTGTGTGTGTGAGAGAGAGCGCGTGTGTGTGTGAGAGAGAGCGCGTGTGTGTGTGAGAGAGAGCGCGTGTGTGTGTGAGAGAGAGCGCGTGTGTGTGTGAGAGAGAGCGCGTGTGTGTGTGAGAGAGAGCGCGTGTGTGTGTGAGAGAGAGCGCGTGTGTGTGTGAGAGAGAGCGCGTGTGTGTGTGAGAGAGAGCGCGTGTGTGTGTGAGAGAGAGCGCGTGTGTGTGTGAGAGAGAGCGCGTGTGTGTGTGAGAGAGAGCGCGTGTGTGTGTGAGAGAGAGCGCGTGTGTGTGTGAGAGAGAGCGCGTGTGTGTGTGAGAGAGAGCGCGTGTGTGTGTGAGAGAGAGCGCGTGTGTGTGTGAGAGAGAGCGCGTGTGTGTGTGAGAGAGAGCGCGTGTGTGTGTGAGAGAGAGCGCGTGTGTGTGTGAGAGAGAGCGCGTGTGTGTGTGAGAGAGAGCGCGTGTGTGTGTGAGAGAGAGCGCGTGTGTGTGTGAGAGAGAGCGCGTGTGTGTGTGAGAGAGAGCGCGTGTGTGTGTGAGAGAGAGCGCGTGTGTGTGTGAGAGAGAGCGCGTGTGTGTGTGAGAGAGAGCGCGTGTGTGTGTGAGAGAGAGCGCGTGTGTGTGTGAGAGAGAGCGCGTGTGTGTGTGAGAGAGAGCGCGTGTGTGTGTGAGAGAGAGCGCGTGTGTGTGTGAGAGAGAGCGCGTGTGTGTGTGAGAGAGAGCGCGTGTGTGTGTGAGAGAGAGCGCGTGTGTGTGTGAGAGAGAGCGCGTGTGTGTGTGAGAGAGAGCGCGTGTGTGTGTGAGAGAGAGCGCGTGTGTGTGTGAGAGAGAGCGCGTGTGTGTGTGAGAGAGAGCGCGTGTGTGTGTGAGAGAGAGCGCGTGTGTGTGTGAGAGAGAGCGCGTGTGTGTGTGAGAGAGAGCGCGTGTGTGTGTGAGAGAGAGCGCGTGTGTGTGTGAGAGAGAGCGCGTGTGTGTGTGAGAGAGAGCGCGTGTGTGTGTGAGAGAGAGCGCGTGTGTGTGTGAGAGAGAGCGCGTGTGTGTGTGAGAGAGAGCGCGTGTGTGTGTGAGAGAGAGCGCGTGTGTGTGTGAGAGAGAGCGCGTGTGTGTGTGAGAGAGAGCGCGTGTGTGTGTGAGAGAGAGCGCGTGTGTGTGTGAGAGAGAGCGCGTGTGTGTGTGAGAGAGAGCGCGTGTGTGTGTGAGAGAGAGCGCGTGTGTGTGTGAGAGAGAGCGCGTGTGTGTGTGAGAGAGAGCGCGTGTGTGTGTGAGAGAGAGCGCGTGTGTGTGTGAGAGAGAGCGCGTGTGTGTGTGAGAGAGAGCGCGTGTGTGTGTGAGAGAGAGCGCGTGTGTGTGTGAGAGAGAGCGCGTGTGTGTGTGAGAGAGAGCGCGTGTGTGTGTGAGAGAGAGCGCGTGTGTGTGTGTGTGATGGATCACATGACTGTCTCATCCTCCAGTCTCTGAGGTCTCGGTTTCTCTGCTGCAGGAGCGCTTCAGTTACGTC